TTTTGAAAGTTTAAGATTTATCTCTCTTAAGAGAGGTGAGAACATGACGTCCAAGCGGCTAAATTAATAACCCTTCACTGAATCTTCTTCAGTTTCTCTGTAAGAGCAGGTCCAGGTCTCCAGTCACGCCATACTTCCCTATCTTAAACTCATTATTTCTTCATAACCCCCCATCCAGTCCATCAGTCCAATTCTTCTTCAGTTTCTCTGTTCTTGTCCAGGTCTCCAGTGACACCATACTTCTCTATCTTGAGTTCTTTATTTCTTCATAACCCCCCATCCAGTCCATCAGCCCAATTCTTCTTCAGTTTCTCTGTTCTTGTCCTGGTCTCCAGTGACAGCATACTTCTCTATATTGAGTACTTTATTTCTTCATAACTTCCCATCCAGTCCAATTCTTCTTCTTCAGTTTTCTGTTCTTGTCCAGGTCTCCAGTGACGCCATACTTCTTCATCTTGAGTTCTTCTCTTTAATTTCTTTATAGCTTCCCATCTAGTCCATCAGTCCAATTCTTCCTTCCGTCTTATTCCACCCTCCTCAATTTACTTATCAATTCGTTTCCTTTTTCCATATACCCCCGCCATCCAATTCTCTTGTCAATTTCTGATGCCTTCAACAGGCCTTGATCCTCTTTCTTCCAATATTTTCTCAAAACTTCTTTTTTATTACTGTCAACCTATCTTATTCTCCCCCATATAAATTCATGGACGAAACTTGAAAAGGTGTAAAGTCTTTGATGTCGCCTTTTTTTTTTTGGTTATATCGTGTGTCTTCAATAAAGGTCACTGTAATATCTTTCATAGTTATTGTCCCAATATACTTCCCAAACGGTACAAGTTTGGTCAATGAATTTATAGGACGCTTCCAATTATATTTAAAAAGATCCATCTCTCTCTAAAGTGTAGTGAAGTTAAATTTTAAAAAAATCTCTTGCAATGGTTTATATATACAGAATCTCTTGAATAAAGGAGATACTCACACACACACACACACACACACACACAAAAGCCTTTATTAAGACACACTGGTCTTATAGAGGATTCTCCCCGAAATTACAAGAGAGATAGGCCTGTGAAAGTAGATACTCCGTAACTTCACATTTTCGTCTTTAAAGTTTGAATTTAATACACAAGTGACATCTTTAATGAAGACATACGTTATATTCTAGGACACAGCTAGAAGATGGCCCTCATATAGAGGGACAGAATGGACAATGGCAAACTGCTATTAAATATAAGACGGTTGATTCTAGTGATAAAATAGTATTTCTTAAAAACCACATCGTGGTTGACTTATTTCAAGTATTGCTGCTATCCTGCTCTCAATGCTTCAAAACATCAAACATGGATTTACCTCAACAGGAATTCTGTCTGGCCATGGTTACATTCAGGCAGACCTCACAAAGGTATTTTAAAAAGACCTAACTTTCGCTATTTTATTTTACTTAAAAGTTTTTTTTTACTTTTATTTTTACAAAAATAAAATGTATATTTTCTCAGCACCTGTTTCCCGTTTTATTCACTCTTCTTATCTAAACAACACCTGTCTCTATCTTCCCTGGCCTGGGGAATCTAACCTTTTTTTGAACAATCTTCGTAGCGTGCAGTACCTTGGTACTTTGCTATAGTGTATTGCGGCTTGTCTTGCTTGTTACATTCATTTTTGGGCTCGAAAATCATACCACTTTGGTTAGTAGCCCGTAAAGCCATATTCTTTCTCTTTCCCCCATTGCCAAGATGAAGACCAAACCGTAGACCTCTTCACTGCCCAACCTTCCAATACCAAAGATTCCTGACGGCCATCTTCCCAGGGATCGCCAACCGAAGTCCAGCATCCCTAGAAAATCTCCCAAGAAAGAAATCTGCATGGCGACATCTCAGTAATTGGACTTTCACTGACATTGTAGATAAAACCAAGAAGATGGCAGCCCAGGTAGTTGGTGACTTCTGTACGTGGTGGTTCCAGGAACCTACTGGGTTAACTAAATAAATAAGTATGCCATAATAATCATGGTAGGTAGTAAGCAACTGCTTTCACTCTAAATGTACCAAATGTCTACACATGTACCTGCAACGTCCCACAATCAATGTCCCATATACTAGATGACTGCCCGCTGTACAAATTCAATGGAGGAATCTCCAATCTCCATTCTGTCACCCCGGAAGCCCTGAACTGGCTGAAGGCCTTGCCTCTCAGACTTTAATGACCGATATGTCCTCACTTCTTTTTTCTAGATTTAATTCATTTTGTCTCCTCTCTAATTGTAAATACGCTGCTGTATCACCTCATAAGCATAAATAAATAAATCTACACATGTAGAAAGCAGTTCGACTTTTGCAACTTGCAAGTATGTCAGAGTTCCCGTTTGGTTACTTGTCCTCATTGGTAGGGTTGTACTTTTGCAAGAGTCGGTGACCATTGAAGCAATTGTCTTTTTCAGAAAAAAAAAGTTCCCAATGAGGGATTCGATCCTGGGACATGGCAGTCGGAAATCAACGGTTCATATCACTGGTCTACCGACACCTTACTACACTATATATATTACATATATAAATCCTTTTTTTTTTCAATATAATATTTGCCTTTTCATGTTCTAAACATATATATATAAAATTTAAAAAAATATAAAGCTATTATCATTTAGTTTTGTAAATATATTTATGTTAAAACCACATTGTGACTGAAGAGTTTTTTTTAAACAGGTGCAAAGAATATCCGATATCACAACTTTATCTAGAATATAACCGATTTCCATCTATTTCTAAACCTATTAGAATCACATGAAGCTCTAGACTATCTTAGAAATACCATGTTTTCCTCATATTTTACTGTTATAACTTGGAATTGAGAGTTCACAATAAAATTGATAAAAAAATCCAGAAAACTGCGGCTTAAAAGATAAATCCCCATTATTTAAACTAATATTGATAAATACCTAAAAATAAAATAAATAAAGAACTTAGTTCCATATTCACGCCTTCCATAAAATACTTTAAGAGTTATCTTTCTCTAACCTTTTTTTTTGTTAGTTTGGAGGTTTGCCAGATTCAATGAGAGGATTTCTTGAGCGAGCTCTTTCTTTCCAATACTTGGTCAGTCTCCAGGTTGTGCCGCACAAAATTACTTTTCCCTGGGCATATAATCTATAAGTCGTTTTTTTTTTTTTTTGGCTTCTTTACCTCTATTTAATTCCATAATATACACCTTTATCGGTCCCAAGCCCGGATGAAAAAGTATAAAAAAGGAAAACAGTAACAAGCTCGGTATAGAACACCTGGATTCAGTTGACCCGGCTGATAGTACTCTGTAAGAACTCCTGGCTCAATACCAGGCCACTGACTTAGCTCCAATATGAAGTGGCCGCCTAAGATATGAGGAACAGACACCAAGTACAGCTGTTCCTAACATGGAGTACAGATCATCCTGATTCAGGAATACAGGATGATATGTTCTCCTTTTTAGGAACAGCTGTACCTGGTGTCTGTTCCTCATGTCATAGGCGGCCATTTCATATTGAAGCTAAGTCAGTGGCCTGCTACTGAGTAATGCTCTCATTCTCAATGCTAAAAACAGACGCATTCTACTTCACCTAATCATGATGGTTGTCTGCAATTCTCAACCTGCAACCCCAAGACACATTATCGACTGTATTAACTCATCCATTGATGTGCTCTACTCATCCCCGGCAGACACCATCAACAAGCTTTACAAGCTTGATACCCTAATATGATTGAGTGGAGATAAGAAAGAAGAAGATGGTTGTCAAATCTCCCCTCCTATTCAATTTCACATTGTGTCTATGTAATGGTATCAGAATACACTTGAATGTATATGAAGGGATTTGAGGATAGTGATCCATGTCAGAACGAAATGTCTAAGTACAAATTCAATGTAAAATCATATCCTACCCATCTCTCATATAAGCATAATAGATGGTAAAGTGTCATTTAAAAATAACTAATATAAACGAAAAGTTGGAATTAAGTTTATTCCACTACATATATATATATGAAAAAAAAAACAATTGAAAAAAATAAAAGACAATTGGGTCAGATTTTGATATTAAAAATAAAGAAGGCATCTCCTGACCACGAGCACATGTGATTTTTAGATGGCAGAGCGCCATCTAGTGGAGCAAAAAAATAAACTAAACGTTTATTTAGCTTGCTCCGTGATATTTGGCCAACCCAATTTCTTGATAAATCAAGAAAAGCCATCCACGAACGCGTTTCGCGCTGTTGGCGCTCGTCAGCGTGGAGAAGGCTGTAACTACTGCGACCAAAAAGATTTTTGGTCCCAATGGCTTCCCGAAAAATCAAGAAATGGGTATTTAAGGCCAAATATATATATATTAAAACCAAAAGACATTTCCTGACCGCTTACGTGAGCATTTTAGATAACAGAGCGCCATCTAGTGGAACAAAAATCAACTAAACGTTGATTTAAATTGTTTCTTCATATTTGGTTTGGTTAATTTTTGCCCCACTAGATGGCGCTCTGCCATCTAAAATTCTCATGTGACCGGTCAGGATATATATTTTTTTATATATATGAATACCTGACCTTTTTTATGTATTTTTTCTTATATATAGAGAGAGAGAGAGAAAGAGAGAGAGAGAGCCCAACTCAGTTTCTTGATAAATTAAACCAACCACGTACCGGTTTCGGGCTGTTGGCCCTCGTCAGCGTGGTGCAGACTGTACCTCAACGATCCACCAAGGTGATCAAAGAAGATCCCTGAAAAAAATCAAGAAATGGGTATTTTAGGTCAAATTGACGTAAATGCGTTTAAATAAGTGGAAATCTAAAAGTAACAACGAAAATAGAAGTGGTCAGTCATTATGATGTTAAACGACATTTGAAATACTATCCCGCATGAGTTTCTTTTAATCGAAAATTCAAAATTTATTTCAAGGAGAAATAACGATTATTTCTAACCTTTTGGATGAGGTATGAAAAGGTGAATTGTGAAGAGTAATGATAAACGGAAAAATAAAAGTGTCCAGTGATGGGAATCGAACCCACAGTGTTCCGCTTACCGGGCAGATGCCATGTCCACTAGGCTACCCTGGATATATTTTTCCGTTCGTAAATAATACATAAAGTAATTTATATTCATTCAAAAGGTTATAAATAATCGTTATTTCTCCTTGAAATAAATTTTGAACTTTCGTTCAAAAGAAGCACATGCGGGATAGTATTTCAAATGTCGTTTTACAATCACAAGCCGCATTATATTGTATTATAAATTATGATGTAGTTCACAGATTCTCTCATCAGAATGTTTTTTGATGATACACACCAAACCCTGCCACAATCACTGCTATAAAAACGATGCAGAGAACATTAACATGGTCTCTATGATATTTATCTGGGTGGTATAAAATCTACAATATTAGGTTGAAAAAATTAGGCTTTCATGGATAATTTCAGGGATTTCTGGAATAAGTAAAAACCAACGAATAGTTGATATTTATTCCGATAGATGGCGCAAGCCATTAGCATCTTTCAGTTGCACGACAAGGAAATTCCTTTTTCTTAATTCCAGGGATAAGTTTATTTTTTAAAATTTATTTTAATTTGCATATCTTTAGCTTTCGGTAACGAAAGGTTTTCTACAGGAGAAAACACAGATACCATAAATCTCCAAAAAGACACAAGTTAATATTGATTCAAGGGATTATTTTATTGAAAATTTACATAATTCAAAAATTAACATAACTCCTTTGATTACTTATTTATAACTATTTGAATTGAATGATTATCATGACATCCGTAATACCTCTATTTGGTTGTACAACTACTAGATGAGAAACTATACAGGGAATATTAACATAGTTCCTGTGATAATCAGCCTGAATTGAAACTACTACAATAGAAAATGTACATAGATTAGCAAGACCTCTGTAATACTTATTTGAAGGTATAAACTATCGCAATTGGAAGGATATCAAGATCGTGATAGCTAATATGCAAATATATACATTTCGTGAAGAATTTCAGAGAGAAATCAGGTATGCATTTAAAATGTTAAAACAATTTCGAAACTCGTACAGGAAAAGAATAGTGGATATATTGTATATTATACTGTGGGGAAGGTAGGTGGGGAAGCCCTCCTTGCTGAAGATATTTGTATATATTCCCCTACACTTTATATGCCCTTTTACTCTTTTATTTTTCCACCTTTGTAAAATTTGATTAAAAGAATCAATAAAATTGTTTAAATTGTCAATTGTTTATACTGGATATTCTGCCACAAGAGTTAAAGTAACAATTGAAACTGTGTAACAGTTGTTAATTCCTTATGGAAATATATGAAAGAGACATAGTTGTTAAACATTACAAGAATTTATGGAACAACCTTCTCTACTCTTCCTATTAACATAATCATCCATTTCATTCCTTTTTTAATGAGTACTTCATATATATATTTCTAACATATAGACAAAAAAATTTGCATATTACCTTTTTTGCCTATTTTATATATGTTTTATATATAATTAATGAAAAAGATTACCAAAATAATATATAGTTTATATGTGGAGGATTTGACGACAAAGCAAATTGTATCGATCAAGATTTCTTAAATAATAGCAACGTTATCAATATATACATATTGTCATATTTACATATCTAAAAAACTAGTTCTACCTATTTACATATAGGCCTTTATAAAGAAAATTATAAACACTAAATGATCATTATTTATATACCCCGAGCGTGTGCCAAAACACGTTGTTATACTGTTGAGGTTTTAGAATATTCGCGTTTTACAGTAACGTTAAAAACTCACTTTTTATTAGTTCTTGTAGTAAATGAAGTGTTATATGAGTAAATCATAGTACTGACAGCTGTTTATTGATACTTAACCTGGTGTTTGTACTTTAACTCCATTGTCTCTCTTTATAGTACTGCCAACTGGTCGTTAAGACTTTACCTGGTGTTTGTGCTTTAACTCCACTTAAGGTTGAAATTCAGATTACATTTATACATCGGGCCAAAAAAAAAAAAAAAAAAAACTCCAAAATTAATTTACATAAACTACAATAATGATATTCTATAGTATTTTCAAACAATTCTCCATTTAGGTATTTACATATGTTTGATGTATTGTGTCTGTACAGAATCTCCAAGAATCAAATCTCCAAGATGATTGGTAAGTAAATCTTTTTTACTATTTGATAAAAGAGAATCTGTTGAGTGAAGAGTTTCTATTATACGACGAAGATACAAGCTTTCGGACGTAACAGCACTAACGGGATTATAATACGGTCACGATTAAAAGTAATTAAATAAGCTTTCAATAATGATTTTAAATATTTATTTACTTTTTTATTGGAAAGATTTAGGTATATAAAATAATGTGTCACATATTTATTTAAATGGCGCATATTGGGTTTAAAGTTTTGAGAGATTATGTAAAAATGGTAGAGAATATATAAAAGGAAGTTTTTTTTTTTTTTTTTGGCGATGAGAGTCATGCAATAAATGAGATTTTTTTAATTGTTTCCTAGCGTTATGCTACAGAATTGTACAATTATACAGAAAAAGGAATCTCCTTATCGTGCAACTGAAAGTTGCTGATGGCTTCCGCCATCTATCGGAATAAATATCAACTATTCTCGTTGATTTTTAATTATTCCAGAATTGGCCAAATACGCTGATGAGGGCCAACAGCCCGAAACGCGTCCGTGGTTAGCTTTTCTTGTTTAATCAAGAATGGGTATTTGGCCAATTCTGGAATAATTAAAAATCAACGAGAATAGTTTATATTTATTCTGATAGATGGCGGAAGCCATCAGCAACTTTCAGTTGCACGATAAGGAGATGCCTTTTTCTTAATTTATGCACCTTATCTCAGTACAATGTTACATTTGTACTATTTTTTCACAATTATACAGGTTATACATGAGGTAAATCGTCTCAGGAGTTGAAGCAAGAGGAGAACTGAGTTTTTTTTCCTTTCCATGTAGCGTCTCTGTTTCCCTGATCTGTCCGTTCAGTCTAAGTTAAGAGGCAATACCAGGAAACTGTATTCTCTTGACATTATTAACAAATACTTTACCATCCCTGGACATTTTATTTTTCCGTTTATCATTACTCTTTACAATTCATCTTATCATACTTCATTCCTAAGGTTAGAAATAATCGTTATTTCACCTTAAAATAAATTTCGATTTTACGTTAAAAAGAAACATTAGCGGTATAATTTTCAAACTTCGTTCTACAATCATAAGCCGCATTATATTGGTGTGTGTGTGTGTGTATTATAAATTACTTTACTTTTTAAATAAATCCATAAGGAATCTAGGTTTCTTTTTATATTTCATTTCTCGAATTTTCAGGCCAACATGCCCTTCAACAAAGACCCAGAAGTACTACTGGTGTCTCTGTGTTGAAGAGCCTGTTAACCTGAAAGTTCGAAAAGTAAAAGAATTTATTTATGCTTATGAGGTGATACAGCAGCGTATTTACAATTAGAGAGGAGACAAAATGAATTAAATCTAGAAAAAAGAAGTGAGGACATATCGGTCATTAAAGTCTGAGAGGCAAGGCCTTCAGCCAGTTCAGGGCTTCCGGGGTGACAGAATGGAGATTGGAGATTCCTCCATTGAATTTGTACAGCGGGCAGTCATCTAGTATATGGGACATTGATTGTGGGACGTTGCAGTCACAATTTGGATCTTTGGTGTAGCCCCATAACTTCATCAGCTCTGCACACCTTCCCTGACCTGTCCTAAAGCGGTTTAGAAGCACCCATTCTCGTCGAGGGAGGGAAAAACCAGTAAAAGAATTGTAAAAAGAAACGGGACCCTCGATTCCTTATTGATTTATTTAAAATGTAAAAGCAACAAAGAATATTTATTAAATCCTTTACTATTGATAATATAGTGGGTTATAATTAATAGGCTAATCCCTTAATAGAATGTTCAAATCTATAAGTTTGAGGGATGAGTTTCTTTTGCAAATAAATTTATTTCGAGATTTCGGGCAACGCCCTTCTACAGGAAAATTAAAAATAAAGTAAATTAAATTATATTACACTGAGATTAAGCGAGGCAAATGTATAACAAACTATATAAAATAAATATCAGAAACAAACACACGTGAGACTACTCGTGCGTCAGATACATATGAATAAATCAATAATATATCAATAGTGGTAATAAAACAACACTTAAAGTTTCACCGCATAAGTTTCTTTTCTGTGAAAAATCAATATTTATTTCAAAGAGAAATATTTACTATTTCTAACTTTTTTGGATGAAGTATGAAAGGGTGAAAATATGAAGAGTAATGGCGAACGGAAAAATAAAAGTGTCCAGGGGCGGGAATCGAACCCACATTTATAATAATATATCAATAGTGGGTTAACTAGAGCTCTATCTCAAGACACAATTAAAGTAGAAATTCTTTAATAGCACACTTAGTATCCTCATTAAAACGTCTTTACAAAGAAAAACCTAATAGAACTTAAAACTCTATCTTCAAATAAAATACACTTCGGTCAGTAAATATTTTTATTGTCTCGACGTTTCGACAAAATCTTTTGTCCTCGTCAGGAGCGAACAAAAATTAAAACATTTGGTAAAGCGTTAGAAACGTCGAGTTAATAAAATAGATTTACTGGCCGAAGTATCGTTTATTTGAATAAATATGAATGCCGGCCAGGCAGCCTCTATCTTTACGATTAAAACCTTATATGCAACGAGGGAAATATATATATACAAGTATCTTGTATCAAGTATACTTGTATCTTCAGTTTTTTTTATTAAAGTGAAATCATCCGGCTTCTCTCTCCAGGGATAAGTTTATTTTTTGAAAATTTTAGATCTAGCTAAGTCCACGAAAGATCTAAATTAAAATTTTCAAAAAAGAAACTTATCCTTGGAAACATGATGATGGCACTCTGTCATCTAGAAATGTAAGCGGGGTCAGGATATGTCTGTTTGGTTTTTAATGAATTAAGTGTGAATATGTTAGTCATAGTACTGACAACTGTTCATTGAAACTTTACCTTGTGTTTGTGCTTTAACTCCACTGTCTCCCTCTATAAGAAATGCCGTTTAAAA